GAAGTTGATATGACTTTTGCTGTACGGACTACCCCGAAAAAAATTAAAAATTATTTTAAAAAATGAGATGATTAGCCTAAGAAACTTTCTTCGCGTAATTCGGAATTTCCTCATATTTATTTAGCAGCAGGCGTGCAGGAAAGTATTAAGGCTTAACAACTCGTTTGTAAATAATTTTTTTTTTATTGTTATCGAACCTGACCTGCGCGGCATAAAAGGGAAGAGGATCTTAGTGGCCACCCTCCCTTTCATTCATGTAGTCTGAGAAATTGAGCTTCTGGTCCAAGGTTACGCCTAAGTACTTAATTTTATCTGCCCATGCAATCTAATAACCGTTAACTGACACTTTCTACATGAAGATTAGGCGCTCTCTGGAGAAAAATATGACCTCAGTTTTTAGGGCTAATCATCTCATTGACCTTGACCACCTTTTTGACTTCCAAACTGTGTTGTAAATCCCTACATGCTCCGCATACTGTTGCAACAGAAAAAATGATGGGCCTAACATAGAAGCCTGATGGACTCCAGCGGCGATTGTAATGTGTTTGATGTTAGGTTGTTTCGATGAACACGGAAATAACGGGATTTTAGATATAATTTATTTTGATGATGAAAACTGGAAAATTGATGTCAATTAGCTAGTAAACGATTTCGTACTGCCATACAGTATCGAAGGGCTCTAAATCGAGCAGAACTAGCTTGTGTGCTTTTTGTGGTTTAACAGTTTTTTACGTGGTCAACCAAGCGAGAAAGTTGACTGGTAGTGTTAGTAAAGAGGCCAGGCTAAAATCTTGCCACTGGTCAACAATAATACGATGTGGCATAATGGGATGGTCCAATCTATGGCGTATGCATTTTTCAAAGACTTTACACTCAGATGGCCGATTGGTCTGTAACTACACAGTTAACCAGCTTTTGTCAAAAAAAAAAAAAAACACCTTTGTACACATTACATAACATTTTGAAAGCATAATAAGAGAAAGGTTTCTGCTCATGGGAATGCATAGCAGATTGGTGTAGGCATGTCACATTTACACTCCGAAGCAAATCTCCACTCGCAATATACTACAAAACCGATTTCAATATTGTGCTCGTGGAAAATTACAAAAACCCCACAAAAATTGGATATAAGCAAAATGAAATCAGGTACATATTGAACTGAGTAGCTTTAGCAATGTCATAAAAGTAAATGATATGTGCAAATGCAATAACAACATAAAAATAATAAAATATTACAGTAACTTGGCATAATAAATAGGATAATCAATTTACGTTTAATAAAATTAAATAAATAAGTCAATAAATGAATAAATAAATACACAACAAATTAAATAAATACATTAATAAATTAGAAGGTTAATAATCAAACAAATATGCAACATGTGCAAATATGTATACATGTTCGTATACATAATTTACAAGATTGCAGTGTGCATACATGCACACACACATACCCATCTTTACCCTTATATTAGCCTGATTATTAGTGTAATATATGTTTTATTCTCCAGTGCTTCCAAATGGTATTTGTAGGGTACCTTCCAATTTCTCGGCATGTGGGATTTCTATGCTCAATAAGTTCATTGAAAAAGTTTTCAGTGAGCCGTTTAGCTTCGTCGTATATCAATCGCATGTTTATACTCTCATGGGGGCGGCTAATTTTAGTGCGTCGGCTGGAAGAGGTTACCAACCTCAGAAATTTATTTTGTGTGCAGTGTAACTTCTTCCAATTTGATCTGGAGGTGTAATTCCAAGTGGTGCAGGCGTGCAGGAGGACAGGCTTTACCACAACTTTGTAAAGGAAGAGTTTACTATTGAAATTGAGTCCAGCGTTGTGGGACAAAAGCGGAATGAGGTACCTCGTAGCCACCTTCACTTTTTTATGGTTTCATTTACGTGACTGGAAAAATTGAGCTTGCGAAACAAAATAACGCCTAAGTATTTGCTTTTTCAACCCATGGAATTTGCAAGCTGTTAACAGATACTTGGTCTCTAAAGATAGGGCGACGCCTGGTAAAAAGTATTCAAGGCTTTTTAGTCACTGCAACCTGAATGTAATTTTTTTGTAATAAGAAAACGTGAAATTTGTATGAGTATCAATACGTAGAAACATTCAATTTTTTGAACCACATTTTTATCTTACCTAGACAAATATACAAGAAATTATTTTTATGTTATCAATCCTGCCATCAAATTATTAAATTTAGCTTTTTTAATGATAGAGAGTGGCGATTTACAAGCAATGAGCTAGGTTTATATTTGTGTAACGATCCCATCTTACGGGCCGTCACAATTTGAAATTGCCACCTGCAGTTTCGATAAAGCCTAAGAAAGGGAGGGGCCGAGTATAGGCCTTAAATAAAAACATTGGGGGGGAGATAGAGTTGATCTGCTCACTGGTGAAGACGCTACCATCCTTGTTGCCTGTGAAATAGTAATATTAAAAAAAGTAAAACGAAACGTTCCAGTCTCCGTGGGTAAGTCCTTTCCTTAATCTAGGCAGTTTACAATTATTACTTTTTAAAAAAAAAAAAAAAAAAAATTATTTATAAAATTCAAAGAAAAGGTTTAATTTCATTTTTATTTAAACATCATTTATGATTAATATAAGGAATATATTTTGTTTCAACAATTGTCTTTATTATAGTTTGTTTATGCTTCATTTATATCATTTCAAGCTTGTTGCTTAGTAATAATAAATTGTTTAAAATTAATTCTAACCATAAAATAATTTCATTTTCTGTCCTTTTATTTTTATTAAAATAAAAAAAAAAGGTATCTGGCAAATTTCAAAATTATAGTCAGACCGATCGAGGGATTTCCTCTGGGACCTAGACAAAGTCTAGGTTGGGCCCATCCCTTCCTTAAAAACAATTACTAGATAATTGTGACATTTGTAATGTTTTTAATTTGCAGTGAACATTATTTGCCTCGATTATTATTTTCCTAAAAGGGAACAATTCACCGTTCAGATCAACCGGACACAACAGGGGCTATAATTCGGAAATGGAAAAATGTTTGGGCATATGAGAAAAAGGGGGATTATACGAGGTAAACTTTGTCGAACTTGAAATATACGCGTTGAGTTACAGCCGAGGGGATTGGTTTAAAAGGCGGGCCCCACCTGCTGCCCCGCCGGTCACCCTGTCAACCTTACGCTACTCCGGACAATTCAACGTTTAAGCCTCCACCGACCATTTCTCTTTTTCCAATTGTTTTTTTTCAACTTTTTATTTACTTTCAAATATAGCTTGCCCTTCCGTGTTGCCGATTCGGAAAAGAAAAGAACTCAGCAAACAAAAAGCCTACTTGAACATAAATTGTGGGTTTTCGAAAACTCAATTTACTGACTTATCAGGAAAAATTTTTCCTTCTGTTTTCAAGAGACTCTACACAATCATGATATATTTTAATGAAATATTATATGGAAAATCTAGATCAAACAATATGCAGACATACCCAAGCGTTCTTTCCAATGGACCGACCCTTGCATCTGGGGAAAATATGTGGGATTTCTACGTTTCTTGTGAACGTATCTCAAGGTTTTTAAATATCAGCAAATTTTTTTTACAAAGAAATAAAAATATTTTCATTTTTCTAAGCGACATCATCAATTAGTCACTTCTATTTCTATTCATTTCCTATTCCTATAACAAACACACAATCTCTCTCTTTTGCTTGCTTTCTTTCTTTCTTTATATATNTATATATATCTTTTCTCTATTCCCTCTCCGTTTGTGGCTCATCCTTCACTCTCTTTTGTCTCTTCACTTTCTCCCTCTTTTCTATCTATCTCTCACCATACACACACCCACACTCTTTCTTCTATCTCTTCCTTACTCTCTTTCACTCTATCTGCCTTCCTTTCTCTCTCCCTCTCTGTCTTTCTCTTTCTCTCTTTCTATCTATCTATCTATTTATTTAACTATCTATCTCTTTTTTCTTATCTTTCTCTCTCCGTCTCTCTCTCACTCTCATATATATCTATCTTTCTCATTAATTGTAAGACGCTACCTAAATTTGTGAGATTTTTAATAACACGATATTCATTCATTCAAATAGTGTCTATATCTTTCTATCTTATTATGATCATGTTTGATTTCCTTTCAAGAACATATATAAATGCACAAAGTAAATAAACAAATTTGGTTATAAAAAGAGTTTATAATAATTTTTACCATCTCATAAAACCGGTGAGTACAAACGCTTGGGAGAAAGAATATTTTTTCTCAATTTTTTTTGCCATTCAGATGCATCCGAATTTTTTCAAAAATCGAAAGATTGATGAAAGGTTTATGATAGTATAAACTAACCAATATAAACTACGTCACACAAGTTAAAATTAAAGATAGAACTAAACTTTTATATGATATTTTTGTTAATTTCGTTCTTACTTTTTTTATTAACCAAAAACTCAAAAAATCAAAATGAAAAAACTCAAAGCAGAATATCCTATCAGTTATGAAAACGCTGAATTTGTAGAAAATCTATAAATAAAAAGACTAACTAAATACAAATATACAAAATAAATAAATAAAATGACAATACTAAAAATAAAATAAAAAATACAAACAATATAATTACATAAAATGGTAAAATATGAAAATAAATAGTAATTCAATTGTTAAATAGATAACACTAGGATTTGGATGAAATTCTTCTTAGTGAGTCCAGTCCAAAAATATATAAATGTTGATTGCCAAAAAATAATTCCATGTGAGTATTAATGAGGAGCTTAAAACGAATTAGATTTTTGGCAAGGAAATGTTTTTGCCTACTTTATTGCAAGCACCATTTGGTGTTTGTATCTTTGCATGTAATATCTAAACCCATTCACACACTTTTTTCCGACATATTTTACATACTATTTTCTTATCCTAAATAAAATAAAAACAAATCAATTGATTTATAATAAATTTGTACCTTTGATTTTTGCATGTACATATGCATGCATAATAACAGCTGTAAACCATATTTTTTATTTTATTTATTACTTATTACTTGAACATTTTTTTGAACTATTTAAAATTATGTTTATCTGGGAGCCGCAGTGGCTGGATGGTTAGGGCCTCCGACTGTGATTTACCACACTGCAGTGATGGGTTCGAATACCGGTACAGTCCATTTAAAATTAAACAGGAATAATATGTAAAATCTGTTGTTGTGATGATTATCTCTGACACCCAGGATAGGGTTTCGTTTATAACAAGAATTACTTTACTTTACTGACGAAAAGTAATGTTTGGCTCATTGGTAGGTACGCTCTAACAAGTGAGTAATAATTTTCGACTTAGTGTTAAAAAAAAAAAGATTTCACTATAATCGGCGATTCCATTTCGGTAGCCTTCACATTTTCGTATTTTTTTTTATCGAAAGCATTATTTTCCTATAGTATGTTTGTTAATCGTCGGTAGGTCGGATTGTTGTTTTATATGTCTGTGGGGTAAACCTGGATTGATTTTGTCTTTGCAGTCGTGTGTGCTGATTCGTGTTACGAGCCTGAGTCTAGGTGGAATCCAAGAAAACCAACCAAGTCGTTTTGAGGATAGGAACATGGTTGTCGTAGATTGTGAGCGAAAAATATTTGTAACGGTTCTTACCTATATCTTGCCATTGGTATTCTTCAGATTCTTGCTTGGAATAACGCTCTTGCTTCATTTTCCTTCGATCTAAAACACAAAAAATGTGTCCGTATAATTTGACAAATCTTACAAATTATGTTGTTTTTATTGTTCTTAAGGTTATCAATGTTGACTATTTTTCGCAGTTCTCTTTATTATCAAAAAAAGCTTTAAACACGATGTTCAAAAGTAAACACATTATAAAATACTACGTAATAGCTTAGATTTAAACAAATTCTATCCATCTCGCATAGATTTAAATCTGAACTATAACAAAACCAACTGGTTCAAATAAAAATCTAATAATTAATTACCAGTAAATTTATTAAAACAATGTAATTTCAGAAGCGAAGCGTGTGTGATTCCTGGTTTTCTAATGGTTCACTCATGAATTAAAGATGTTGGTATTACGAAAACGTGCAGCTCATAGGCAGCATAACTCGGCAGTTTTCGGATCTAAGGACTAAGTGTAAATAACAAAACAAATGAATTCTGACCATATCAATATTATTGAAAAATTGGTTAGAAATACAGGTAGAATAAATAAATTTTAGAACTATTTCAACGGCTTAAAAAAAATCGTCCTGTTAAAAGGTTTTTAAATTTAGAAGCCTTCGATGTGCTTTCAACTTTCATTTCTCTAGCGTTTATTATTTAAAATCATCAACGCCTTACGTTTATGAATAAAAACCCTTTTACCCTTATCTAAATCTATCTACAGTAACTATTACCTTTGAAGTAGTATTAAAGATGCTTTCGTCTCTAATGGTAAATAAAGGTGCAGGACATAGTAAATATTAAAAATATAAAAAATATTAAAATGTTGAAAACTTTCTATTGCTCTTATTTTAGTTTCACTTTTTAATAAATCACTAACTACAGGAATTTAGAGTTATATAGTTACGTTTTTAAAATGCTAAAAATAAGTAATATTTGTAATTATAGACCAATTTGAATGCAACCTGCTGTCGACAACGTTTTTGAAAGCGTCATATTAAATTTCTTAAACCCAATATTTAAAAACGTTATCATTCCAAATCAACATGGTTTTCATTCGCAAAGATAAATTAATAAACTTACTTATATTTCCAGATTATATCTTACAATCCTTTTCCGAAGGACTACAAGCTGATTGTATTTACACTGACTTTGCAAAAGCTTTTGATAGTGTTGATCATATAATTCTACTACAGAAGTTATAAAATTTAAGATTACATGGTAACTTATTACGTTGGTTTGCATCCTATTTAGAAGGTCGAATGCTTAAAGGAAAATTAAAATCGGTGTTGTCGCATAGTTTTCTAGCAACTTCTGGAGTTCCTCAAGGGTCACACTTTTCTTTTTAAAATTTGTATATACAATATCTCTTGCGTAAGTTATGATCTTACTTTTTGCAAATGATTTAAAAATATTCCTAAAAATTAATTCTGTTTCTGACTGCATACAACGTCAACATGCCTTACTAAAACTTAATAATTGGTGTTCAACTAATAATATTCGTTTAAATTCTGACAAATTTTCAGTTATAACTTTCCATAAAACAAAATATCCTATCAATTTTAACTACGCTATATCAGACTCTTTCCTAATTAGACCTGAAATTTTTTAAGTCCTTGGCATCGTTATTGAAGGTTAAACTTTTCCACGCACATTAATAAAACTATTGCAAATAAAATTTTAGGATTTATTACACGTCACACTAAACATTTCCATGATCCGGATACACTTAGAATTTTGTACACTTCCACTGTAAGACCGATATTAGATACTGTTCTCCGCGTTGGGCTGCCTTTCATTCCACCCATATCAGTCGCGTAGAAGCGCTTCAAAAAAGATTTTTACTCTTGATACTTTACAAAAGAATTGGAAAATACAGAGATATAGAATCTCAACGTTAATGTCGGATCTGAAATAGTCGATTGTTTTATACAGAAGGAATTTTTTTGATTGTACATTATTTTATTACATTCCTTAACTGATTGCCCATTACTGCTTTACCGAATCAATTTTCATGTTACATCTTATTATTCTGGAAGTCAAATAACGTTTTCTATTGATTGCCATAGAACTAATTATGCCAAATTCAGGTTTGTACCAAGAACAACGAGTTTGTTAAACTCGTTCGAAAATATAAATATATTTAACGTCAGTTTAAGCAAATTTATGCACATTTTATTATTAGAAAATTAAATATTGGAACATCAATATTGAATTTGATTATAATTAATAATTGATAATTATATAGTTTTAATACATATTTCAAACTGTCTCAATTTATTCTAAATTGCTTGTTTGTTTTATTGTTTTTTAATTATTATAAATATTTCTAAATTTATGTACAGTTAAAACCTTAATACTTTGATTGTATACATTTGCATTTGGGAAATCGTAAATAAAAAAATTCAAGGTTTAGGTTGTAGAAATACATTAAATATTTTTCAGTTTTCTGTTGAATTTTTAGAAATCCTACTTTAAGAAATTGATAATCTCAATTTTAATAATTTCGGATAATGATAAATATATTGATTTAACAAATCGAGCCAGTGTATTTTTCACTGTGTTTATTTTCTCCAAATATCCTACCGTTTTTAAAATAACCCTTTTTTCTTGGAATTTGATGTTTTTTGTTGTCAGCTTGATTGTAATAATCCGGTGTTAATTAAATGTTCGAACGCATAAAAACTATACTGTTTTATTTGACTTATTTCGGATAATGATAAATATTGTTGAAATTTCCGGTTTCCTTTTTAGTGACTCTTAAATAAATGAGCATTTATGCATCATCATCATTCATATTCATAATCATTATTCGAGATGTAGGGAAAAAACATTAGATTTCTCATCAATATCTAAACTAAGAAGATTATTCAAAAATCGTGAGATGCGGTCTGGTGTGATGAAGGTTTCAGAAAAACATTTTCTTTATTGTGCCAACGTTTCGATCTTTATTGAGATCATCTTCAGGGCCTGGGATTTACAAACATTGTTTAAATTTAACAAAAACATGTCGAATGTGGAAAAAAATAAAATTAAGAAGTTTTGCGAACTCTCGGAGTGCCGAGCTCAAAAAGCCTATTTGAATGTTGGGTTCGAAATCTAGGCCGCTGGATTCGATCCGGGGATATTTATCTTACAGTGATGAAGCACAGGGTTAACTCCTTAACAATTGCGGGCACGCCGACCACTAGCAGTTAAAAACATCCAGTATATACAATAATATTTATTGGTTTAACACATTGAGCCAGTGTATTTTTGGTGTTAAATTGCTACTTCTTCAAATCATTTTTATAATACGCTAATTCAGGTGCTATCTCGGTCTTTCAACAAAAGGTACAATTTAAAATCTTTTTGCAATTTTTGAAAGGTTTGCTTGGAGTTAAACATGTTGGTGTTTGGCCGCCCCTGATGTTTCTTTTCTCTTTTCATGTCCTCCAAATATCCTACCGTTTTTAAAATAACCATTTTTTCTTGGAATTTGATGTTTTTTTGTTGTCAGCTTGATTGTAATAATCCGGTGTTAATTAAACGTTCGAACGCATAAAAACTATACTGTTTTATTTAAAAAAATCGCAGTGTTTTGAGTTATACTAAGTGTTCAGTGATGCTGCTTTCTACGACGAAAACGCCATTTGATTTTTAAATTGATCTTTCAAAATGTTGATGATGAAACGCTTAAGAATGTGCAATTTTGTTTATTGGTATAAAATTGTAAAGTTAAAGAACTATATAAATTCGGTGTTCATTAAATCAGCATTCGTGATAAAAATAAATTTAAAAAATATAAAAAAATAGACAGGTACTCTACAGAATCTTTAGGTGGTATTATCCTTTCCCTTGAAAAATATTCTAGGAAATTTCCTAAGCCTGATTTTTTTCTTTAAGTCAAACATCACAGGAGAAGCCTATTGATATTCTGGACGTGTGTCATTCAAACCTAAAATTTTGATTCGGGCAAAACTCCCATTCCTCTTTCAACACAATGTTCGCAAGCACTGCAAACCGTACGAAAGAAAATTTATGTGGCCTGTGGAACCACGTCTTCCAAACCCTCCAGACTTGTTAACCCTCTGTCACCTTATTAGAGTGCCTGACAACGCCAACAGGTAGAAAAACGTTGAAAACCAAGTTCCGAATTAATGGTTAAAAACTATCTCCTTCCATCGCTTTCAAAATCAAGTTTTTAAAACTTTTTGTCGTCGAATAATTGAAACCATTACAGCTTATTTCAGTGAATTTTTGTTTTAACTTATAAAACAAAACAATTATTTAACGTTGTTTCTATAATCGATTAGGTTTCGTGGTCCGATTGATCAAAAAAATTCTTTTCCATTAATTAATCTTTAAGTAAGGTATTGGTTGAGATAAAAAAGTCAGTGACACGAGCGGGATTCGAACCCACGACCTTCGGTTAAATACGCGGCTGCTCTACCACTTGAGCTATCGTGACTTCGATCCACTCGGACACCAACTTCTCATCTCAACCCCACTTTTTGAATTTCCCCCTTTTTTGCCATTTATCTCAACCAATACTTTACTTAAAGATTAATTAGTTGAAACGAATTTATTTGGTCAATCAGAACACGAAACCTAATCGATTTAATAAGCAAAATGAAGAAGGCTTCACTAAAGGTCTCCGTGGCCATTTCATCAATCAGATTATGCCGAGAATCAAATAGATTACACAACATTTGAAAAATGGCAAAATGAAGGGAAAATTCAAAAGGTGGGGTTGAGGTGAGAAGTTGGTGTCCGAGTGGATGGAAGTCACGATAGCTCAAGTGGTAGAGCAGCGGCGTATTTAACCGAAGGTCGTGGGTTCGAATCCCGCTCGTGACACTGACTTTTTTATCTCGACCAATACCTTACTTAAAGGTTGTTTATACACTTTTTTTTGACTTTATACAAATACAACATAAACGACATCATTTTCTTGATACTCTAGTGGTTTTCTATATCACTGAAGTTTTGGAATAGGGACAGACAAACAGAAATATCAGTTTGGAGTAGACAGTTCATTTCGTCTGTGAATTCTTCTTGATTTGATCTGCCAGTGTAAAACAGCAAGAATAGATAGATTGAAATCATCAAAACGAACTTCAAACCCCAGTAATCTCTTCGTTTAGACGTAAACGGACTGACCAGAAAGCTCAGAGACATTAAACTACAAACCCTTACGCATTAAAAAGCTTGGCAGCAAAAATTGATGGGACGGAGGAAAATTATACAACAATAAGTAAATATTTTTAAGGAATCTAAATTGAATCGATTCTATATTTATTTATGATTTGATTGGTATAATATTCTCAGTGTGGTTTCCAAGGCTCATAAAAGAAAAACACTAGACTTGTAAGTGTGTAAAATCTTTCGAATCAGATCGTTCCTATTGGACGGAAAGTGAAATATCGCACATCATAAGGCGCGTGGAAGAGTATAACCGAAATGGAACAATCCTTTTTCTTGAAGTTTCATTTCAGTAAGGCAATTGATTTCGGTCGGTTGCCGACTATTACCGGAATGACACATTACCTGCGTGGATGAGTTCGCCTTCGGTCTTATACCCACAATGTACCTGTGGATCGATCACCGGCTCGTGTAAAGAAGGAAGCCTTTGATCGCCTACTATTTTTATGCGCTAACTGCTCAAAGTTTATTGTCCTTTTTATCCCGTTCGATTCCCGGATTCGGGGAAGTTAATCCTAATCTCTTCTACTTCGGCTGTTTAAGGCTGAGATTTTCGAGTGTGAAATTAATATACTTGCATTATTCATCGTTCTGTTAGGATGGCTTATGCGCTTTAAGAAACTAAAAGCACCGCTGGTGAGTCACTGTTGGGGTGGAGTGATGATATTGAACAATAAACGAAATATCCAAGAAAACACGTTTTACGTCTTTAAAATTTTTTATAATGCAATACTTTTCAATTTAGGGCCTGGAGTCAGCAATATGGAAGATCCGTGATCCAGGAAGGAAGTGTTACACCAGGATGAGCGCTTGGCTTATGCTGATGATGCAACTATTATGGTACGGTCGGCCGCTGTACTGAAAGCAGCAGGAGGATGAAGCTGCGCCATTTAACATAAAAATTATTGAAGAATAACGTATGTACATGGTGATCACGAGCGAGCTAAAATAGCATTTAGCAGCAGAAAATAAGTGCTAAGAAAATTAAAGAAGACTTATCGAAATATAATTCTGTCCAGAAGACTGGAAAGGTGGACACTTACCGTAGCCGAATAAAAAAGAATAAACTGCTGGAAGAGAAATATGATGTGCGTAATTGTTGGGTCTACGGTGGCAAATAGCATTTATGGTGGTCCCGTAGAACGGAAAACTGAAGGAACTGTACAAGTATGAAAAATTAGTAACAACTACAAAAGAGGCAGGATGGAAGACGACATAGGTCCTCGTATAGCTTGGAAATGGCATCCTTAATGCAAGAGAACTAGATGCCGACTAAATTTGCGGTGTTTGAAAGATGTTGACAACGACCTACTAAAGATAAATGTGAGGTTGTAGAAGCAGAAGATGGGTAGGAAATGTATAAACTGCTGGTAGAGGCTAAGCTCCTGTAAGGGGTGTAGTGCCATGGAGTAATAAGTAAGGAAATACTTTTTACATTCACGTTTTTTTTAAAATATAAAATTTGTCGATTAAACGTTTCTTAATATTTTTGACAGTCTCAAAGAGACTCTCTCTTTTGGTGTGTCAGACGATTAGTGTGTTAATGTTGGGTGCCTCATCATTGATTATATAAATCAAACTTGACTACTCGGAAATCACTCAGGCCCAACAATGAAAATGTCGAATTGCCAAATCGCGTCTGATAGAACACCTGGGAGGACAGGTAGAACAAAATGATCGCTAACAACCAAATTACTGATTCAATACCACGTACACAATAAACAATAAATTCCAGTGTGTGGGTGTATGTTAATAATTATGACGTTTTATGAAAATTGTAAATGTGTTATCAATAAATATTTAGTGATTACCATTGATTGTACTTGTAAATGGGAGCAAGTTTACCTCGCATTAGATGAAACCTGGTGGCTTTACACTGCCCGATGCTTGATCTGATTAGAACAATAAATCAGTAGACGACCATTTTAATTTTTGACTAACATCAGCTCTAATGATACACGAGATTGTTTTGAGTCGATACAACTTCTGGCTGTAGCTTATTAGCTTACCTTCAACCTCTTTCTTGTTTTCAAAACTTAAGCAAATTTAACTCACCAGAATTATGCTTTATAATTTATTCTAACTATAGCTTATGAAAGTTGACCAAAATTAACTTTTTCTTTCGTTCCTATTTCGCCCAGCGTAAAACATTTAAGCGATTGACGATTTCTCGTTAACATAAATTTCATCGTCTGATTTTTTCCTTCTCCGTGTGTAAATAGACGTGGTTCGCGAAGAAAAGTTGCTCAACTGGAAACTGCTTAGAAATCAAAGGGGGTGACAAGTTTTTGAAAATTGGACTTGTCCAATTAGTCCGACCGACTTGACAAATTGCTCTTGCAAATTGCCGGTGGCCATACTTGTAGGTCGGCCGGCCCAAGTTGAATCGACGGCAAAGGTGGTACTCTGGCTGGCCGAGTCAAACCGACCGTGTCACCATTAACGTAATGAAAGGCTACAGCGGCACCAACGGCCAATTGTTTGTGTTCATTTGCATGTCAAAGGTCGCCGAGCGGAGACCCCCGGCCCTTTTGTACTCGGCGAAGGGCCCGGCCTTCCCCCAACATTCAGTGGGAGTTGAACCATTCAATATCGCTAATTGAATAGCCAGTAACTCTATTTGCCAACTCCTCCGGAATAAAGTCGAAGTAAGAGGACAGTCGCTCTTGGCTTACATCCCGCTCATTCGGTAAAACCTAGTTTCACCATTTCACTCGACAGTAATTTGATTTGAATTTTAAATGCTAACTACGAGCCGTTATGCTAATATAAAGATCGTGAAATCACTCCTCTAAGCCTTTGTGAACACTAATGTTTAACCTTTGTGACGAATGTTGAATCAATTCCATAGAATTCCAATAAAAGTGGTTAAGAAGTAAGGAACTCCTTAGCACAAAAAATTAATTTTAAAAGTAAATAAATATACTCAATTTTTTTTTTTTTTAATTAAATTTATTTATTAAAACTGGTCTTATTAGACCAACCATTCATTTTACAATAATATTATACAATAAATAAATGTTTACATTCTTATAAACCCATTGGTACAATAAGATTTACATTTCACTATTCACTATTCACTTATAACTGCACAAGTTCATATGGCTTTGTTCTTTTTAATCTTCTGATCGTGTTTCGGTAATGTAAGAGTTTAGTTGCTTCCACATTCTCGTGCTGGCTGAGGCGAGCCTGGTGTTTGGCGGCAAATCTTTGTATTTCCGCCGTGACTTCAGGGATCTTAAGATCCCTATGTAAGTCCTTATTCCTTATGTACCAAGGTGCATTGACCATGTTACGTAAGATTTTATTTTGGAATGTTTGTATGATTTTGATATTGCTGTTTTTGGTACAACCCCATAGTTGAATACCATATGTCCACATAGGCTTTATGACTTGTTTATATAATAATATTTTATTTTGTATAGCAAGATTGGAGCCACGTCCTATCAACCAGTATAGTTGTCTATACCTTAAACCTATTTCTGTCCTTTTTTTCTTCACGTGTTCTTTCCATCTCAGCTTGGCATCTAAGGTCATTCCCAGATATTTAGCTGTATTGCTGTATGGTATAGTAGTTCCATCGATTATGAGCGACGGAACATGGTCCACCTTTTTGTTTGTAAAGATTATATGAACTGATTTATGTTGATTTAGCTTGATTTTCCATTTTTTTGTCCATTCGTTTATCTTATTACATGCATTTTGGAGGATTTCGGTTGAGTGGGTGATAGTCGGTCCTATTGATATCACCGCTGTGTCGTCTGCAAAAGTTGCAATTTTTACTCCATCTATTTTCGGAAAATCACTGGTGTATAACAAGTAAAGCAGTGGACCTAATATGCTACCTTGTGGCACTCCTGCATTTATTGTTTTTAATTTTGAATATTGATCTTCTTGTTTGACTCTAAACAGTCTGTCAGTTAGGTAGGAACTGATAATATCGACATACTGCTTTGGTAGCATACCTTTTAGTTTATTGATGAGTCCTTCGAAATATACTCAATGACAAAATAAATAAAAAACATCCTATTTTGCTATTTATGTCAAACTATGCGTATTATTAGCGTTACTTTAATTACACCATTTTTATTTTAATGTAAACTAAATTAAACAAGATCAGAAATTCATAATTTTTAATAAGAATTCTTTAGTTAAGATGGGTTGAAAGAAAATTCACACAAACAGGGGAGAATCATTCACTACTCGATCAATAACCAAGAAAAAAATATCGCTACCTCAACTTCACATCATACCATCCTCATCATAAAATAAAACACACGGTCAAAGGGCTACATCACAGAATTATTACGCTAAGCTAATCATTTCACCATAAGAACATAAAGAAAAAACATATCCTCTACAACAATCACTACCCTAAACACATAATCAACAAAATAATCAACTACTACAACTCAACACTAACACCATCCACTATTACTAATATACTACATCAAATCTATCAAATACAGACAAACCAACATACATTTCCATGCCATTCATTCCCGGCCTATCACATAAATTAAACACATTTCACTCTTCTGACAACTTCCAAATAGCTTTCAAAAACAATTCACACACTTTTTTCCAAAATTAAAGATCCCACACCAGTAACAAATAAATGTGATGTAATTTACAAAACCAATCGTTTAAATTGACCGGCAACATACATCGGTATTACATCCAAATATCTGGATAAGATTTACTGTCTGGCAACATACCTAAGATTGCAAAAACCCCAAAAACGACTGGCTGCCCATCATTTTGAACACCAACACAATTTCGACTTCAACAATCCAAAAATATTACACAGAGAATAAAACAAACACAAACGTAACTTTTTAGAAATGGTTTACATCAACAGGGATAAACACAGCATCAATTACCGAACAGACACATGTAAACTCAGTCGCAGCTTCGCTAATATCATTAATCAAATTCAATATCGATAGCATACATATATTATCATCACATCGTACAAAACCATCACATTCCACACATCAAACATTTCGACATAGTCTTTGTAATTCTTCAAAAATTTGGTTTTCCTTCCCCTACTTATCCTGGTCTATATAAAACGGAAAGGATAATCAGGCCGAACCATTACCAATTGTTTCCCATTATTCTCAAAGAAGCCAACTCTACGTATAAAAATGTCTTTCTATTCCCGTCTTCCGTCCCCACCCCTTCAAAATCCAACTTATATAAACATAAAACATCAATATCTCACTGGTACTCTCAACATGACACACAAGAATGTTTTCTACACGGAAAACAAACTCTTTGAGTGAGTCCAAATATTTTGTTTGAATCTAAAATTTCTAGCATTGTATAAATTAATTTTTTTCACATCCTACATGTATTTGTAAAATTTAAACAATGCTTATAAATCCCAGGCCCTGAAGATGATTTCGATAAAGATCGACCCGTTGGCATGATAAAGAAAATGTTTTTTTAAAACCTACGTCACACCAAACCGCATCTCACGATCTCCGAATAATCACTGATTAAAATTTAACTAACAAGAATTGGTTGTTGACAACAATATATTAATAGACTATTAACTGGTTTTGCTCGAGGAGAGTTTTAAGTCTTCTAGGCATCGAGTAAATAAGCGACCGAAAAATAATTCCATTCTTCAACAAGAACAGTTTGAAGCTGTTCAACGCTTGATGGAGGTGAGAAAATAGAAATTTGTCTAATCCGTCTCTTTATCATATCCCATAACTATTCTATAAGATTCATGTCAGGAGAATGTGCTTTTCAATTCATCGCGGTAATCTGTACATCCTCCAAATAATGGGTGACAGCTACACGCGGTAGTGCCCCAATAAATGGAAATGGCGCCACAACTTTCAGAAAATCTCCCTTCCGACAAAAACTGTTAGTCAAAGACAAAGTGTTTGATAGTAAAACAAAAACTGTGTACTGACTACAGATATGTTATTATGTTAGATTTATTTTTAAGATCAATAAGAATGATGAACCTGTGGTTTATTAAATTCAAGCTTATGTTTATTGCCAATCCGTTACGTATTATTTTTATTCAAGATTAAAATTTACTTCAAAATTAATAAATAATTGTGCTAAAGTTAGAGTATCAAAACATTTAATTAGTTTAAAAGTATAAATAGGGCTTTAAGCCCCCTAACATGTACATATATTAGAAATAAATTTAATGTAATAAACATAGTAAAATAATAACAATAAGATACATATAACAATAAGAATAAAACATATAGTAAAAACGACAACTCTTTTTTGTTATGTACCGATTCGCTCAGTGCGGTCCAGAAGCTCAGGAGAAGAGCCTCCGTAAACCCCTTAATAAACAAGATAAAAGAACAGTTAAAAGGGATCGATGCAGTTGGGAAGAAGGTCGTGTTGGCATGGGTTCCCGGCCACATAGGGATAGCCGGGAACGAAGAAGCAGACAGGGCGGCCAAAGGAGCCGCTGGAATGCCCCACGACGCTTCCCAACATATACGCCCAGCGGTCCTAAAACTACTAATTTCAAACTCAGTAAAAAAAGAATGGGAAACCCGCTGGGCTCGAAGAAATAGAATTAACCCTGCCAAACTGTGGCAGATTAAGAAAGAAGTCGGTCCCTGGTCCACGGAGAACGGTTCGAAAANAAAGAAAAAGATGGAAAACACGCAGAGGGCCGTCGATGACCTCAGCTGTTTGTTGGCCCATAGACTTCCCACTTATATATAGTAAAATATACAAA